ACAGCATATCTTAAGCTCAAGGAACTGAAGAAAAAATTCAAACCTCAAGTTGCTATAATCAAGGATGCTTTCGGCAGAATGTTAAATGATCCAGTAAGTATTAAAAGAAGATGGAAATAATATACTGAGTCACTGTATCGAAAGGAATTGGAAGACACAGAAGAATTTCATAAAACAACTTATGAGCAAGAGCCTATGGTGATTAAAGAAGAAGTTCAGGCTGCTTTGAAGGAAATGGCAAAAAATAAGGCTCCAGGAATAGATAGTATACCAATTTTGCTTATTATGGAAAATTTCAAGCATTGCAAAAGTACCATCACTGAGTTTCAATAACTTATCAACTTGTTAGTCATTATGTTTCATCTTACTTTGACTACTTCCCTAATAATTACTGTTTCATGTAAAACTTGTTAACATTTTGAAATAGTCTACGTTATTAAATAATATTAAAATGATAAAGTTTTTAAACATTGTAGCTGTGATTTTATTGTTAAACTAAAATGAAACCAGTTGGTTGCCATTGAGTTAGTTTTGTGTCATTGAAACTCTCTCTTCATTTTGTGAGTCTGTACTTCTTTAAAGCAAGAGACTACCCATAGTTCTTCCTCAGAGCTACTGGTTCATTTGAACTTCAGACATTTGGATTAGCAGCAATATACATTATGTCCTATGCCACCAGAGTTCCTTCATAGCAGTAGCTTACAAAAGCTCCTTCATAATATTATGCCATATGCCTAATTTAAACCTTGATGAATCTTGAAGGTGTATCGTTTCTGAAAGTACTACTTGTATTTAAAATAATAACGTAAGAAAACACTGAAAAACTTCTTACATGTGTTTTTCTATGCAGAAAAAAGCTGTAGTGATTCGTCACTTGTATAATGAAAATAGTGCTGTCATTCCTGAAGATACATTAAATACAGTAACAGATATTAATGAAGCATTTGATGTACCTCACATCAACACTACTGAAATAAATGCCCCTGAAGTCAAGTCAGAGCAACAAGTAAGAATATTGAACTTGAGTTCTTCTCATCTTTCAGCTGTTGTGACTAATACGGCAATGAACATTGGTGCACACTTTGAAAAAAAAAAGAATATTTTATTTCTTGAACAGATGCCATTATTTCCCACTTGTAATTATTCTGCCCTCTAAACTTCAGAATGTTTCTAGCTCTCTTATTTATTAAAAAACATTACTCATTTTTATTAGTCAACGTTCAGTAACTATTCTTTATAATTCTTTATAATCCTTTGCTGCTTAGATTTACATACTGGGTAATGCGGAAGTTAAGTGTGAAGTAATGCTTGACTGTAGAGAATTTACAGTCTAGTGGGAAATAGTTTATCTATACTACTTTATGAGATTGGTATATCACCTGCCTTTAAGCCTCCTGCCTCTCTTTTTAAATCCTTGTTGTCTTTTTTGGTCTTTGTTAAAACACCACTTCTATTTTTTAAAATTTTTATTATTATTATTAATTTTAATGACAATTAAACACATTAAAGTTAATCTTTATTACTACAATCCCCATCAAAGTGTTTACTGTGTAGAGCTTCTTTTAAACCTTTTTTCTTTCTCCTTGTCACTTTTGTGTGTCTCACTGCACAGTTGGCATTTCTAAAAATGATCAGGTAGCTGTCGGACTTATTTCCTGTTAGAGTACAAACTCAGTTATTTCAGTGAATTAATTATGAGGTTTCTCGGGTCATTTTCTTTAATTTTGTGCTGGGTATCATTATAAGATGCTATTTAGAACCAGTTTTATTTTATCACTTATAATACTGTTTGAAAAGCTTTTGCAAACTCATTTAATGCCCACAGAAACCATATGAAGTAGGTAATATTATTATCAAAGTCATACAGTGTTGATAACTAATTCAATCACCCAAGTAGTCTGCTTCCATTACTCCTAACTACCATGCCATGCCATACTGCCTAACTAAGATAATGACCACGGCATTGGAATAAATGAAGGGAAAGACAATCTGAAAGGAATGAATGGTTAGAAACTATGTTTGACAACAGTCTGTAAGAAGACAAGCATTACCACATGAATTGGGGTAGGGAAAGGGAGAGAAAAAAATGTGTGTATGAATGATTGAAAACAAAACAAATGCAAAGGAAATGGTTTGGAGGAATTTCAAATTGTATAATAATATTTTAATGTTTCTGTTTATTGTAGGATATGAAATGTAATCCTGAAATTATTGCACTACAGACTATGATTGCTGAATGTCAAGAAAAACTCGAGAAACTTAGTTGCTTAGAGAGTAGGATAGAATATTTAGAAGAAAAAATGAAAGGCAAAGTGATGATAAATGAAAAGATCTGGACTAATCTTCTAAGTCGTATTACTCTTCTTGAAACAGAAATGCTTTTGTCGAAAAAGGTATTTTATTCATATTTCTTAGTGTATTTTCAGTATCATAAAGTATTTCCTTTATTCATTAGTATGTGTGTACTATTCTGGAATTACTAAATAAAAGAACATGTAAGAATGGGAGAATATTTAGTTAAAATGAAGGCTTGATTATACAAAACCTGTTTTGCTGTTATATTTGTTGTGGCTGTTATTTTCATTTTATAAAATAATATGACAAGCTTATAAACTGAGCATTTACAGCTACCTACTAATACTTACTTGAAGTACTTAAGAGGTAAGACTATTTGGTATGGTTTATGAAAAGCTTGAGATTATTATTATATTTTCATATCCTTTGTTAGGAAGAAGTAATACTGGCTGAGGAGGAAAAATTAAAGTTGTAACTTTTATTTCCTGTTCCTACTTAATTTAGCTATATTATGAATTATGTAGAAATTTTTTTCCCCTTACATTATTGGATTTGTGTATGTATTCAAGATTTCATTATCTAGTCTACTTTGCTATATAAAGCAAAGTTAGCAGACTCAGGAACTTACTATTTGAAACCATATTTAAGTGATTCTCATGTATAGGAATAATTAATTATGTATTGCTTTACAAATAAAAATTAAATAATTATTATGCATCTTTATACTTTTGTTTGGCAGTAAACATATTAAATGATATTTCTCTTATTTTATTCTAAATACTAAACTATTTTATTGAGACTGATGAATATGAACAGTTTAATGAAATGAATGAAGACCCTATTTCTGGTAGGCACGTGGATCATCTGAATCCTGGTAAGTTCTTATAATATTTTATTGGTGCTATCATAGGAATTTACAAAGAATTTCTTTTCATACCTATTTTATAATTGTCATATTCTCAAGCCTAGTTTTTGGTGGGAATTGCAAATCTTTTAATAATAATTCAAATTGGCAGACTGCAGAAACCAATGAGAGATTAAGAAAACCAGCCTTACATAGAGTAGTTGGATCAATTACAGTGTACAATGTTAGGACCCTTTTAGAGATCTTTTACGCTTTTAATCACTCAGTGCTCTAGAATAAAAAAAGTAAACATCCAAAGTTTCTAGTTTAAATTTAAGTAATAATTTTCCTCTTTAAAAACATTAGACTTAAGAGAAAACAAGTTTGTCATCAACCTGTAAAGCATAAATATCTTACACTTTGTAAACAAAACACAGTTTGCTGGTGTTGATAACGTGAACAAATCTGAAATTAGGTCAGGTATCGTCTCAATATCACTTGATTTTTTTTCTCCCTTCCCTTCCCACCCCTTCCATTCCTACAAAGGTCTGACTGAATTCTGCCTTGTATCTGCCTTTAAACCATTGGAAGAATAATATGTTAATATTTTAAATCTCTAAATATTTAGTATCACTAAATCTTTCAACAACTTTATGTAATAATTTAATAGTAATAATGCAATTATAAACATATAATTATAACAATTATAAACTGTCACTGTCTCTGACACCCCTACTCCTATTATCCTAGTTACTGTGTCAATTCATGTCATCCAGAATTGTCTTCTCCTGTGCCTTCCACTCTTTCATACATGATAGCCTTCTATAAGGATGGGACCCTTTTAGCAATATACCCAAAGCATATGAGATTGAGCTTCTTAATCTTTGCCTCCAAGGAACAACCTGCTTTTACGCTCTCTAGGGCAGAGTTGCTTGTTTTCTTGGCAGTGCATACTCTTCTCCAGCACCATAATTCAGAGACATCAATTCATCCGTCATTCTAAGTAATTTTCCAGCTCTCAAGTCTCAAGACAGACATCATTGCTCTTTAGCACTCTAGGGAGGTCGTGACAGCAGACTTTCCCAATGTAACTCATCTTTTGATTTCCTGACTTGGCTGGTGCCTAGAGTATTGATTGTGGACCCGAGCAAGATGAAATTGTTAACATCAGTCTCATTTCCATCTATCATCATGCTGCCAATTGGCCCAGTGGTGAGAATCTTTGTTTTCTTGATGTTGAGATGCAATCCATATTGAAGACTATAATCTTTGACCACCTTCAGCAAACACTTCAAGTCCTCAGTTTCAGGGAGCAAGGGTATGTCTTCTGCATAATGCAGTTAGTTGATGAGACTTCCTCTGATCCTGATGCTGTACTCATTTCTAAAGTCCAGTGTCCCCAGTGATCTATTGTGCATATAGATTGAAAAGATATGGAGAAAGGACACATACATGACACATTCCTTTGTTGATTTTGAACAGTGTTATGTTTTCTTGCTCTGTTCGTCCTGGTCAGTATAGGTTTCAATGAGCACTGTCAAGTCTTCTGGGATTCTCATTCTTCTCATGGTTAGCCACAATTTGTTATGATCCACACAGTCAAATGCTTTTGCCTAGTCAACGAAACACAGACATTCCTCTGGTACTCTCTGCTTTTGGCCAAGACCCATCTGACATTGGCTGTCATGTCTCTAGTACCACAGCCTCTTCGAAACCCAGCCTGCACATCTGGCAGTTCTCTGTTGATATACTCTTCCAGTTTTTTTTGAGTAATCTTCAGCAAAATTTTCTTTTATTTTTTTATTTTTTATTACTCTTTTGTGTGCGTGTACTGTCAAATCAGATCTGACTGGTATAGGAGGGGATTGTCCTTCCTTCCCCGGCAAAGCATCTGGTGGGTTCGAACCGTGCACCTCTGGGATTGTAGTTGCAGTTCTTTGCCACTAAGCAAAATTTTCTTTTGTGTTATGTCAGAGATATTGTTCGATAATTTTCCCATTCTGTTGGATCACCTTTTTAAGAACTAGGAATAAATATGCAACTCTTCTAGTCAGTTTGCCAGCTCGCTATCCTCCAGATTTCTTGGCACAACCTGGTGAGCATGTCCAGGGCTGCATCTTTCTTTGAAATATGTCAATTGGTATTTCATCCACTCCTGGGGCCTTATTTTTTGCCAGTTTCTTCTGAGCAGCTTGAATTTCATCGTTCATCATCATTGTTTCTTGATCTTATTCTGCTTCATGAAATTCTTCTGCTTAGTCAATTATTTTTGGTAGAGTAACTCCTCTGTGTGCTGCTCTTATCTTCTTTTGATGCTTCTTGGAGCATTCAGTAATCTACCCATAGCATTTTTATGTATTTCAGCTCAAGGATTGAATTTGTTTTTCAGTTCCTTCTGCTTAAGAAATGTCAAGTGAGTTCATCTGTTTTGATTTGCACATTCCATTATAATATTTTGCTTTGTCTTCCTAAGCTGCCCTTTGAAATCTTCTTTTCAGTTCCTTAACTTCTTCGTTTCTTCTCTTTGCTTTGGCTTCTTGGCATTCTAGTGAAATATTCAGCATCTCTTCTGACATCCATCTTGGTCTTTTCTTATTCATCTGTCTTAGTAATGACCTTTTGCATTCTTCATAGATGGTATTCTTCATATCATTCCACAGCTAATCTGGCCTTAGTTCATTAGTGTTCAAGGCTTCAAACCTATTCTTGAAATGGTTTTCCAATTCAGGTGGAATAGACTCAAGACCAAATTTTGGTTCATGTTAATTTGATTTCATTTCCTTTAGCTTCAGTTTGAACTTGCACATGAGTAGTTACACATGAGCTAGTCTCTTCCAGTTAGCACCTGGCCTAGTTTTCACAACTGATAGTGAGCTTCTCCAACAATTCTTTTCCCCAGGTGCAACCAGTTTGTTTCCTGTGTATTCTATCAGGGACGCTCCATGTGTATAGTGGCTGTTTGTTTTTTATAAAAGATATTTGCAATGATTTAATCATTGATTTTACAGAATTCTTATCATTTTCTCTCCACCCCATCCCTATTGCTAAATCCATATTTTCCAACTACTGAACCTTCTCCACTGTTTCAAGTTTTGCCTTGTTCCTAGTGTTACATTACATTCACCAGTTATTATTAATGAATCTTGGTTTAATGTTTGACCAATGTCAAACTGCAAAAGTTGGTAGAAATATTCTATTTCCTCTTTGGCTCTAGTTATTGGTGCTTATATTTGAATGATTGTGGTGTTAACAAGTATTCCTTGTATTCATATAGTTATCTTTTCACTCACATACTGTATTTCAGGATGGATCTAGAGGGATTTTTGGGTTTTTTGCTATGAATGTTACTTGTTGTTCCTAGGTGTTGTTGAGTCGAGAAGGACTCATAGCGAACCTAGGAACAAAAGATCTGAACCTTGTTATGTCCTGAGCCACCCTCACACTTCCTGACACACAAGAGCCCATTGCAGCAGCCACTGTGTCAGTCAACCTGGTTGAGGGTCTTCCTCGCCATTGTCAACCCTCCACTCTTCCCAACATCATGTCCCTCTCCAAGGAATAGCATCTCCTAGCAACATGTCCAAAGTATGTGAGATGAAGCCTCATTAATTTTGCCTTCAAAGAATACTCTGGCTGCACCTTGGCCATCCATGGCATGTTCAATGCTCTTCTCCAACACCACAGCTCAAAGGAGTAAATTCTTTTTCTGTCATCCCTATTCATTGACCAGCTCTCAGATGCATAGATAGTAATCATAAAGACTATGGCCTGAATCAGATGTACCATAGTCCTCAACCTGACAATACTACTCCTCAATAATTTGGAAAGGTCCCTAAGTACAGATTTTCCCAATGTAATGCATCTCCTTATTTCCTGACTACCCATACCAAGGGTGTTAATTGTGGATGAAATGAAGCTGTTGGCAATTTCAGTCTCCTCTCCATCCATCATGGATCCATCCATCCATCCATCCTACTGCCTATTGGTCCAGTAATAAGAATCTTTGTTTTCTTGATATTGAGATGCAATCTATACTGAAGATTATATTCCTTGATTTTCTTTATCAAAATCTTCATTCAAGTCCTCTTCACTTTCAGCAAATGCATATGGTATCAATGATATTGTCTGATAATTTCCACATTTTCTCACTTTTTCACCCAGCAGATTAAATCATCAGATTGTCTGATTCAAAATGACCCATTCCAGTCTATATTAGTTTGCCAATACTGAGGATATCAATATTTATGTGTTGCATTTATTCTTTAACGATGTCCAATCTTCCTGCATTTACATGTTGCTAGGAGAGATTATTCCTTAGAGAAGGACATGGTACTGAGAAGGGTGCATTATCAGCGAAGGAGAGGAAGACCCTTAACCGGGTGACTTGACCTGGTGACTGCTGCAGTGGGCTTTTGTGTGTCAGGAAGTATGAGGATGGTGCAGGACAGAACAGGGTTCAGATCTTTTGTTCATAGGGTCATTATAAGTCAGACGTGACTCGACAGCACTAATAATAACAGCAACAACACACATCTTATATTCCATATTCCAGTTATTAATGTCTACTTACAACTGTTCATCTTCATTTGTGTTTCACAGATGACAGCCTGGCTTCAAGGGCTATCTCTACTTGTCTAATTGTGCTCTATTGTTTCAGGGTTTTCAAAGGCCTGTTAATTTGGAAGTCGATGGCCAATCAATCCTTCTTATTGTTGTTATGTGTTATTGTATCGCCTGCCTGTGACTCACAGCAACACTATGTTCAATAACTCTGAACCCTGGGCTATCCTGAACCAATCTCATCATCACCAACACCAACCTAATCCCATTAATCCAGTCACTGAGTCAATCCTTCTCATCCATGATCTTTTTCTCCTGAGCTGTCCCTTCACTCTTCCAAGCATGACATCATTCTCAAAAGACTCGTCCCTGCTGACTGGTGAGACAGAGCCTCAAAATCGTTTGCTCCAAAAGGTAGTTTGATTTCACTCTCTCCAGGATAGACCCGTTTCTTCTCTTGGTAGTCCATGGTATGTTTAACACTCTTCTCCAGCACCACCACTCAAAGGCATCAGTTTTTCCCCTGGCTGGATCAGACTGACTCATTGGTTTTCAGTACTCTAAGAGGTCTTTGACAGTATTTTTTTCCCAATGCAATTGTTTTTTTTTTTTATTTCCTGTCTGTTAGTGCCAAGAGTTCCCACCCTGCTCTTTATGCCAATACCCCCACCCATCTTCCTGTCAGTGGCTTAGGGAGCTGAGTTAATCCCCAATATAGGGTTGCTATGAGTCGCAAGTGACTCGACGGCACATAACAACAACAACAACGTGATGGCTTAGGACCCCAGTCATTTTTGTGTACTCCTTATCTTTCTGCTCCTCAGGAATAAGGACACTGTGG